AAGAAAAAACCTTTATTCTTTATATTGTGATGTGAGAAAAAAGTAGGAGAAGCTGTCGTAGCCATTAAAGCATCATAAAAAGTATCATTTTCTGAGCTAGCATTATAACTCATAAATAAATGTGGCTGTGCTAAATCATTTTCATTTACCGCAGGAACAATAAGTTTAGTGAGTGCGCGACTTAATTTCGTTTCACTAAAAAGATTCTTAAATAGCTGATAACGACTTTTATCTGTATATTTCGGATCCCAGTAACACCATGTATTATCAGTTGCGAATAATTTTCTTGATTCATTCTGGTAAGTGTTCAATATATCTGAAGCTGAAAATTTTGGTATAAAATCTGATAACTGCCAAGAGCGCGGTACTGATAATCCAGCGGCAGTGAAACCGCCAGTTGATGTTCCGGCAATCATATTAAATAGATGAGAAATGGGTCTGTGAGAGCGATGTTCTATCTCTTTGAGCCATAAAGCAGGTAAAATTCCACGTATGCCTCCTCCGTCAATTGATAAAATGTTATAAACGGGACTCTCATTACTACGAGAATTGTTAAAATAATCCTTTTCATATTTTATGGATTTTTCTTCTTTTTTATAGCGATTTTCATTCAAATTTTTACCTAGTTTCATGATAAGTTCTCTCTGCTTAACAGCTAATTTGTTATTATTATCTAGTCTCAATGCTTCAGTGATATATTCCTCAGCTTTGTCATAATTAGCTCGTTTACAGTAAGCAATGCTACACAAACGCCAGTAGTCCGATAATAATGCTACGGATGGGCTTGCGTTAGGAAGTTGAATAAGCTGTGTATATTTAGACAACTTTAGTAAACATTTTGCATAACCAAAAGTAGAATTTGGATTTTTAGAGTCAATTTCACGTGCATTCTCATAGTTCTTTTGAGCAGCTTGCCAATGACATAAGCCCATTAATTTGTTAATTTTGTCCTTCTTTTCAGCTAGTTGCATGTAATTTGCTGCTAATTCATTATATAACTGTATTTTTTCTTGGTCGGAAGATGTCTGCTGTAATTTATTGTTTAGATAGCGAACATATTCATCATTATCTATGTCTTGAGCCGACTTTTTTGCTTTTGGAAAGGTTGTTGGTGATATTTCAATTGGCTCCTCAGGTAATTCCGAGCCACTGATGACCCACAAGAAATCCTCCAAGACTTCTAAACGTGATTTAGCTGTGCCTACAAACTGAAAATTTTTGTTTATTGAATTTCTGACTTCCTTAATAATTTTGATAGCTTGTTCCCTTTCGTTGTCACCAGTGTCCATTATATAAAAAATTGCAATATTAATTCTTGCAGAATTACGCATCTCTTCTAACCTTGATTGAAAAGGCATTTTCCGAGCATCATCTTTGTTTTCTTGAGCGATGTCTCTATATTCTTCAAGCGAAAAAAAGTCCCTGATTTTGCTTAAGGGTTGGTAGCTTTTTCGTAATTCATGAATACGGCAATCTAACTTTTCTGCCTCCCGCTCAAGTTTTTTATTCAGTACCCCATCAAAAACAATTTTTGCTAAAGCTTTCAAATCTTTTATTGTTTGATGTTCTAATTCTACTTTTCCGCTAAACAATACCTC